CATTTACTTGAAATCGGATAACAGTAATCCGACGGATGTAGATTTTCATTCATCGGAAATAGAATTAATAGAAACACCATTGACACCAACGTCACTGATAACACCAAGCGATGATAGCGAAGAAAGAAGTGGAGAATTGGTATCACTCAGCGATTCTTGCGCCGACAGCTTTTCCGAATCCGTGGGAAGTTTTGATGAAACCACCAACAACGTCGGAAATTTTTTTTATATAATGAAAAACTTTAAAACATCAACTTAAATTTTCTTTATGTTTTTTTTTTAATAAATTCCATTTTACAGTATTCGTATATGCATATATTATACGTTATTATTATTATTATTATTAATTTTTTTGATTTTCACCGAAAGGTTACTACAATTAAGTATAAAAAAGGCTCAAATACTGGAGGAAAAAAAAACAATAAATTAAAGTGCAATTTACACTATTCGATATGCAATAAAAAAAATGTCAATAATAATAATAATAATGATAATAAATGATAATTCAAAATAATAATAATAATGTTTATTACGTAATTTTTTATTTAATTAATTTATTATTTATAATATTGTGTAAAAAAAAAATAAATAAATAAATAAATATTTAATAATTACGATTTGATAATTTTTTTTTTTTTTATTATTATTGGGTTGGTAAAAATTCCATCTTTGTCCATTGGCTGTTGTTTTTGTTTTTGTTTACGTTTTTCGGTGTTGTTATTGTTTTTGTTTACGTTTTTCGGTTTTTTTTTTTTTTTTTACTTTTTTTGGTTTTTTTTTGTTTACGTTTTTCGGCGTTGTTATTGTTTTTGTTTACATTTTTCGGTGTTGTTATTGTTTTTGTTTACGTTTTTTGGTAAAATACGTTAAAATGTATCAACCAATCATAAGAAAATGGAGGTGTACATTTAAAATCAGGTGTAAGGAGATTTTATATTTAATAAATCAATAAATAAATAAAAAATTGATTTTTAATACATTTATTTATAATAAAGTTATAAACACTTTACAATTTATACTGCATCAAATTTTTTTTTAAAATTTTTTTTTTAATGCGTAATTTTTATTGTTATTATTAAAAAAAAAAAAAAATCAGTAAATTAATAAAATAAATCTTCAGGAAAAATTATTTGCTTCGATCAATCGAATTACAATGGCATGGCTCCCAGTGCTCTCACGATGACCGGAATAGTTTCCACAACCTGGCTATTTCAATTTCTAAATTTCTGTACTTCAGCTTTTTTTCTGCTTCTTTGACTGTCTCGCGTTTTTTTCTGCCGGCACGGATACTTCAATCAGGTTACACCGCATTATGCTTCAGGATGATATCCGGTTTGTTGGCTGGTATGGATGTCAGTGTGGATTTGTTGATTATACAGAACTGCGCACGGACCTCCTTTTTTTTTTTTTTTTTTTTTTTGATATCTCAGGAGAAGTATAAGAATTTGACTTACCGGCGACGAAGGTAAGTTCGTCGCCGTACTGCACGGTTTGATCAGGCGTTGATGTTTTCTTCTTCACCGCCGCTGCCGCCGTTATTTTGCTTCTTTTTTTCCCTTCTTCCCTGGAGTGCGCGACGCCGAACTCCGGTTTTTTCTCGTTCGCGTTCGCGGTCCTCTTTCGTCCGTAGGACCGATTCCGAAAATCGCGAGATCGCGGACCATTCCCGAGGTCCGCGGAGCAACCCGTTCACTAAACCACGTATCGACAAGTCGGGTCCGATGTCTTCGACCAGCCGCTGCCTATGGACGTCCCACGTGGGACATATCGCGATCGTGTGCTCGACGTTGTCCTCGGGCGCACCGCAGAACCAACACTCCGCCGTCTCCTCTCTGTCGATGCGCGCCAAGTACGAGCCGAACACGCCGTGACCCGTGAGGACCTGGGCGAGACGATAGGTCAAGTTTCCGTGACCCCGCCCCACCCATTCCCCCACTCGGGGGCCGAGAATGTTAACGATTTCCCCCCCGTGACGCTTACGCCCGTCGCTGAATCGCGCCTGCCAAGCGTTGACCGTATGCAAGCGAAGTTCCCTGCGGTGACGAGCTGTCCTAGGCCCGCCGCGATCCCGTTCGCGATTGAAGACGAGTCTCTCCATCGCGAGGAGATCGAGCGGGGGAGTGCCCGACAGAAGACAAGACACCTCCGCCGCGACGCCTCTGTACGCCATTGCCCCTTGTTCAAAGACGCCTTTTGGAGTTGGATCGCCTTCTTGCGAAGAGGCCGAGCTGCCGAAACCGA